AATCACAGAATCAGGAACCCTCAAAGCAGAAAACCGAAACGAGTTTTTATATATAAAAATAGCTTTATTGCCTTAAAAACAATGCGCTCCCCTCAGGGAGTTTAGGACTTGGTCTCTTCCTCGGGATGGGCCAAATTCCACTCGATGGACCTCAGGATGGCCGCAGGAATGGGAGGTCCAATGGGCAAGTCAGCACTGGTAGGCAAATATCCCCGATCGTCAGCCACGTACTTGATCTCGTGAGCGCCACCTTCAGGGTCGTACCAGCGAGCCTCGCCCTGGATCGCCTGTCCGCCGCTCGGGACAATTTCCTGTCCAGACTGTTGCTGGCTGGAACCGTCTTCCGACTGGTAGCTCCACTGGAAGGARCCRTCAGGACTGATATCCAGRACAGAAGGGGCTACGGGCGCTTGATCCTGCACTAAAACGCACAACACGGCAGCGCAAAGGCTGGCGAAAAGAAGAGCTTGATGGAACATTTTTGCYGTTATTTGYTTTGGTACTGAYTGGTCTCATGTTGCAGTGGCTTTTATATATCGACCACATGGGCAGTGAGATAACACSGAATTTCAACAGGCCATTAGGAATTTCGATTTCGAAGTTAAGTCCAAAAGGATTTGAATACATTATGGGGATTATATAAAGTGACTTCCTGGTTCACAGCAGATGTGCTTTTGCAAAATCTGGTCTAGAGGAGCCGAAAAAAGCCATCAGCTAGCGCACGTTCATTTCCTCTCATATAGTCGCTTATAAGTTGATAGGAATAAACGCCCAAGTAAACTGTTTCGCAAGCAAGCCGATGTCCGCAGGCAAAGAGAAGCATCATCGACAGTTTTGCATACTTGAACCGAACTATTAGAATAATAAAACTATTAATAGTTCCAGAAAAACTGGGTCAAATCGCCTTGACATATGGATTCCCGAAAAACGAATTCTTGTAACACCAACAATCGGAAACCATATAAAAACCGCAAAAACTGCAGTCGAATCAGTATCAAACCCACAATGTTCTCCAAACTGATCGTCTTCTCTGCTGTGGTGGCTCTCACCCTTGCTGGTACCACCCCAGTGCCCATAATATCCCAAAGTCAGAATGTGGATCCTGATGGTTCCTTCCAATGGGCGTACCAATCCGGCGATGGAACCGTTCAGGAACAAGCCGGAAAAGTGGTTCTGCTGAGGTCCGGAGAAGACGCTGAGACTGTTCAAGGATCCGCCTCTTGGGTGGACCCTGAAGGAAACCCTCATCAACTGAGCTACGTAGCTGACGAAGGCGGTTACCGACCACAAAGCGCTGACTTGCCCATTGGACCTCCTCTTCCTCCACTGATCGCAAAGGCTCTCAAATGGATCCAAGAACATCCCAGTTCCGAAAGCCCCGAAGTCTAGATTCTGCAGTGAATAGTTCAAAAAGTGCCATCGAATTGATAGATTTTAGCAACTGAGTTAGAAGGAAATAAAGTTTTTTTGACCAAAATATGGGCTTTTGGTTATCAAGTTTCATAAATCCCAATTTTTTTTTAAATACACGTAATGTGGCAGGAAGAATCCAGAAATGTCTAGCTGAGAAATAAGGGTTAGTTTGGGTGCATTAAAAAATTCCTAAAAAATTGCCTGACGATAAAAATTCATATCAAAATGACTCAGTAACTTGAGCAGTTTCTGCAAAAATAACTGTGAAACTCCGGGCTGCATAAACAAGCGCAAAAGACAATAAAAAATATATGAGAACTCCCTGAGGATGAATCAGAATCGAAGGAAATTTAGCTCTTCATAACCTACCGCAAAGTTGTATACCAAATAAAAAATCGTCAAAATAGCCTGATCATGACTCAAATTCGAAACGTTTTCCACTCATAGAACACACTTTGGCCTACGAAG